TAGAGTTTTTTGCACCATAAAATTCCAGATTTTCTAATAGTTGTATCTCTGCCAAATATTGTCCTATCCTAACAAACCATACATCAATGGAAAGCTTATTTATTCAGCTTTCAGATGATGTCTAAATCTCAATTTCGAAAAATTGGCCCTTATGACTGGTTTTGTGCTCCAGGGTCACATATCAAGTGGATCCTGTTCCGCTCAGAAAAGCGTTGCATGACGTGATGTTCACTGACCAAACACTCTATGAATTTGTCTGGTTGTGTCTGTGTCGTAGGTGGTGACCAACAGAGACACTCTAGAAACCTTGCTATGCATCGCATACGTGTTTGAAGTGTCCACCAGCGAGCACGGAGCCCAGCATCACATCTACAGACTAGTCAAAGACTGAGCCTCTCCGCGGGCCACGGATCCACAGACGCCACAGCGGTCCCTCCTGGATGCAGCCCAAACTCCTGCACTTCTTCTGCTCGGGTCGCGCGGACACGCAGGGCAAACGACTCTCTAGAAGCACTGCTCAGAGGCACAAGCAGAGAATCTGCCGGAATGGCAAATCTGAATGTCGTGACATTTGAATTTATTCTTTTGTATAATGAGAACTGTGATAGCAGGACGAAATGCATGAGAAAGTTCTTTGGTTTTTCTTCATCTCATTTTAGCCCCATGTGTTTGTGTTAGTGTTTGTTAGTATGGGAGTGATGGTCACCTACCGGACGAGCCAAAGGTGGACAAACAGTGTTTTTTCTTCATGTATCAGGACAAACCTGAACGTCAAACGACAGAATGTGTTTTTTCGTAGATTTGCTACATTGTATTTATCAGCCATGTTCTTAAATGTGGAAAACTTAAACTTAAATCAGTCTAACGTGAAAGAAACTCGGAAGACTCTGGGCTTTTCTCCACAACAAGGGTTTGTAAGAAACAGACATCTAACTGCGTATTTGACCTGACAGCAGAATCAGTCTATCAGGAATAAAGAGCGTGTGTTATCCTTTGAAACTGATTTGACGTTATTTTTGTTCTTCTGGTGCTCATATGAATTTGCTTTCAATTCAATTCTATTAGGAAAAAAGTTAGTTGTAGTCCTAAAGGTTTAAAGTCCTAAGATTTAGCAAGTTCATTCACAGCCATATTCAAAATAGCCATGTTTTTAAATTAAGCAACAAATGCATTGCTAATATTTTATTTTATTATAGATTTTTTTATTTTTTATATTTTATTATTAAATTACAAAAGATGTTTTTTGGTGAAGCAACAAATGTATCACAAATATTTTAATTGCTAATATTTGATCATTTTATTATATATTTATTTATTGTTTATTTATTATTATTATACATACTACAAAAGACGGGTTTTTTTTTGATGAAGCAATAAATGCATTGACAATATTTTATTATTATTTCATAATATGTTTTATTATATATTTATTTATAATTTTATTAACATTTATTATTATACTGTGCCAGTAATCGATTCTTTTTTTGTTTTTTGTTTTTGCAGGGTCTTAAATGTTGTAGCGAATCAGCTCATGGGGAAATATGAATAATTAATCATAACTAGTTATAATTAATTATAAATATTAAAAATCAATAATTTTGACCCATACAATGTATTTTTATGGATTAATTAGAAAAGAGTCCATTTCTACTGGGCACTGTGTCTCTTTCTAATTCAATGGCAGTGATTTTCCCTGCTCACATTCCATTAGGTCGTAAATGTATCTGGTGTCAGGGTTGCCATGGTAACCAGGGTCCTGGGCCTTGTTCACAGACAACTTGGCACCCAGTATGTTTATTGGGTGAGGGGTCTGTGAACGTTTGTTAATCTAATGAATAATTGATTTGTTAAATCAAATGAGAAATGGTGTGTCTGATTGGTCCAGACGCTACAATGTATATAAATGGAGTGCAAAAAAAAAAAGTTGATGTTTATAATACAATAATTACAGTTAACAATATACATTGAGAGTTAACAATAATTTACTAAACAGAAAAAGAAAATCAGAAAGACAGGTGGAGATAAAAAGTTAAAAAAAAAATCGTGAGGGTAAGAAATTATACATCAATTAGAGTGAATTGCAAATTGAAGCCGTTCTACTCGCTGTATTTACTGAAGATGAAATGGTTTTGGTTCCAATAAGACAAGAAAAATAGTTTTGTTGTTGGTGAACTTACTTTTATGGATATAAGGCCCAAAATATGTGAAATTTTTTTTTTTACATCTTGTATAAATATGAGCTTTACATTTCTTCATAAAAATGTTTGACGGTAAAATTAATTAGTTTAAAGGTTACTTATACTTCATTAGTGAGAAAATATTTTTGTAGATTTCATTTTTTTAGATTTTCAAATAAATTATTCCAGTAAAAGACTGCGGGAGACAAAGAAATAATATTTCCACGAAAAATATTAACGATTAACTTAATGATTTTCATCCTATATAAATGGGTTAAGGCTAGATGGCATACAACAAAAACTACTGGGCATGCGCACATCATTTCTCACACTGTACAACAATAATTACTATTTTTGCATTATTGTAAGGGGTAGGTTTAGGGTTGGGGTAGGTGTAGACGTTAGTAAAACACAATCTAATAGGTAGAAAATTCAATTTATTGTTAGCTTCCGGTTTTTGCTGTATTCCTTCTAATGACGTTTTTTTTTTCCTTCTAATTAAGTTTTTTTTTCACTTTTTAAATTTTTTTTTATGCTTTATTAATTCAGTGCCACAAGAACATGAGGTATTACATATTCACATGATCAAATTAACATTATTAGCTGCCAGAGAAAAAAAAGGGAAGAAAATTACATAAAGTTCAATGCTTTCAGAGCATTACATGTTTTCAGTGCTTTTTTGTTTTTTCTAAGAGATTTACATATAATTTAAAGTCATTTATAAAATGTGCAAAATTTGGTTTACATTGAGCCCACTTCTTCTTATGTATATGGAATTTTCCTAACAAAATAAACAAATGTATAATATGTTGTTCTTTACAATTCAAATTTTCGTTTTCTGTATAAAAAATTTCTCACACTGTACAACAATAATTACTATTTTTGCATTATTGTAAGGGGTAGGTTTAGGGTTGGGGTAGGTGTAGACGTTAGTAAAACACAATCTAATAGGTAGAAAATTCAATTTATTGTTAGCTTCCGGTTTTTGCTGTATTCCTTCTAATGACGTTTTTTTTTTCCTTCTAATTAAGTTTTTTTTTCACTTTTTAAACACTCTATTTTTCTGTTAATATAGAATTCCAAATCCTTCCAAAATAATCTCGAGTAAATACAATGAAAAAAAAGATGCAAAATAGTTTCTTTTTCTTGACCACAAAATTCACAGGTATACGAAATATTACCTTCTAATGAAGTTGTATTTGTCCTGTCTGCTGTCTTCGACGTCACAGCTCAGGTTCAGGAGCCATCAGCCAATCAGCGTGACGCTTGAGTTAGAAGAGGCTCGTGCGCCATCTAGTGGTAGAAACATCGCTACTGCACGTCGCACAAAGTCACTTCAGCTTGTTACGCTTCAGTTTAAACATGGTAAAAAAAAATCATATGATGCATTGACATATATTATTGTATTGATGCTGTGAAAATAATTGCATTCTGACACTTAATAATAATGATATTGCTTCATTTACTTAATTATCTTACTGGATTTTAACCTAATGCACATGAAGAAGCCAAAATAAAAGTCAGGATAAAGGTATCAACATTCTTATTAATGGCAAGAAATGACACTATTTCTAATCTGTAAAGTCTTTTCAGTACACACAGCCGATGGTTCTGTCAGACCACACAGTCACCCGCTCGCTTGGGCTGGATTAGGCCTTCTCAGTGTGAAGTGCTCGGCCTGACCTGGCAAACTCCACGCTGAGCCCAGAGCAACAACTTCCCCTTGGCTCTGAGCGTTCATTCTGCAGCCAGTGTTTGCAGGATTCATAGATCTGCTGTATTTTGGAAAATGGAGTGTGAAAGCTATCGGCTACCTGATCCAAGTCTCTTTTGGCAAACTTGCGGCTGTAACACACAAACAGACGGGGAGCATTGAATCAGCGCCTGTGATTCAGGTAGAATAATCCTCTCGGATTTCTCCAGAATGAATCAAACACTTCTCATCGGAGGAACAAAGAGCCATTGGTGTTCCACAGGGCAAGCTGGAAAACCACTGAGCAAATCGTGCAATTATGGGAAATATAGTTTTTATATTTATGAAAATGTGTATATGAATTAGATTGGGAAAAAAAAAATAATGGGTTGATTTATAGCTACAGTGACTTTCAGGGGTGGTCACCTTTTTGAAAGGAATTTCTGCGGGTAATTTTCAATGTACAGTCTTGAGGTTTGATCTTCAGGACAAAACACTCACATTTGTATGATCCCAGCTAACAGGGAACGTTCTTGGAACTTTGGCTAATGTTCAGAGCAAAGTTATGAACAAACGTTCCTTCAGTATCAATAACAGAATGTTTGTTTGAAGTTATCTGGTGTTCTAATGTTCTCAGAACGTTAGCACAAAAACGTTATTTATACGTCTTTCATGCAATGTTTTTTTTTTTTTTCCTGAAACGTTTTAGCTGTTTAAATCTTCGTCTAACATTTAAAAAAAAATGTAACTACTTGTTTCAGAACGTTCAGACAACTTTCAAAAGTAACATTCCAAATATACAAAATGGAATGTTCACATAACACTTTAAAAAACAGCGTTTTGAACGTTCAGAGAACATTCAGAAGTAACGTAAATGGCGATGTAAATCGTTCCTAGAACATATTTTTGTTAGCTGGGACTTGTGATGTGTACATCGTTGACAATGTAAAAAATCGCGTAACCATAGCAACAGTAGACCACTTGAACAATGATTCATTGTTCAAGTGGTCTACTGTTGCTATGGCTACGCGAATTTTTTTTTTGTGCCAGATTTATTGCGTCAAGGATGTTCGAGCAAAAACAAAAGTGTTTATTGTACAAAATTAAACAAATATAATATATATATATATTTTTAAATGTAATATAGTGTTTTATTAATGCAAAAGCTCTCGAAGTCGTGCTATGTTTTGAATATCCTCTGCGCGTCGAACAGCGCTCTTTAGCTGTGACTTTACTGAACGCCATTACTCAATTAAAGTGATAAGTAATGACTTTTATTTGGTCGATATATCGTCCGATATTGACCCGGAGCGATCGAGCGTTCAGCTGTTGCTATGGTTACAGATCTCCTCAGCGACGCCCCTTTTTACCAGCGTGTATTATGCGGATACAAATTTAGCGATAAATAAAGTTGATAAATAACGTTGTTTCCTTATAGAATATGTCAAATGTATTTATTTATTATATTACACTTAATAAGCTGAACAATTACATTTAGGCTAGTTTGAGGGAGTCAGACACAACGACACAAGGCCATGCTACTTTTTAATAGAACAGAAACCATCACAGAATTTGTAATGGTTTTACAGGTTATAATGGGAATTGTATTGGTTTTAATGGAATCTGTAATGGCCGCTGTTGGCCTCTACTGGTAATTGGTCGCCTCTTATTGGTGGCTTGTTAAAACCAATAAATCCTAATGGAATATGTCACAAAACACACCACAGGAAACCACCTTTTAATGGTTTTGATGGTTAAATAGTTGATGATTTGTAATGGTTTTTGTTGTGGAAACCATTAGAATTTCTGTGATAGTTTCTATTGGTTTTTTTTTCAGCAGGGTTATACAAAAAAGCTATTGAATTTGCAGATAATAGTTATATAGTGAAAAGAACGGCAAATAAATGTGTTTAGAAAATCGCTATTTGAGCAGTTACATTTATTTATTTGTGAATGAATAAATGAATGAACGTAGAGGTCGTGCTCCAAACCCTGCCGAGCTCTCGCTCGCGCATCATCGCCACACACCTGTTACCTGCGCCAGAAACAGCACGAGCGCCTCAAAACAACATGACTTGACTTCCCAGCCTCGCGGATAGGACGCACTGATCGCGCGATGACCGT